CTTGAAGAGGATACATGGAGTGTAGCCAATCAAACTGTTTCACGAAAGAGACTGATATAATCAGAGTCGAAAATATTCAAAACACCTTTGAACCACGCCACTACTAGCATAAGACCAGAACTGTTGGAAGGTAGAGGAAATGAGGTGTCTTAGAAAAGGAAGGTAGTTCTGAGAGCCCTGGAGCCTGGACGTCCAAGGTGAAAAGGCCACGTCACACAAAGGCCTGCCTGCTGCATCCTTGGACGGTGCAAGGCATCACATGGGAGGGAGGATGGAGCCAAAGACATTTAATAAATCAGTTGTGGTCACATAAAGGACAAAAAAAAGGAGGAAGGACTGCAGTGCCATTTTATTCCTAGAGATACATCCATGACACTTATCACATCTATTCTTTATAAGTGAATAAATTTTAAAAAGAAATTCAGAATCTGCTTTTATTGTTTATGGAATTGGGGATTAATGCAGTAGGTGATATAAGAGAGGTTGAGGGGACCAAGTGTCATATTCAAGTATTTTCCTGATATAATATATGGAAGGGTTAATCTGGGAGTGGTGGATAAGATGAGGAGTGGGTCTTGCTTTCAGTGTGTTTCTCTTGAAGCCATTCTAGTCCTTAGCAAATATTCCTCCTAGTCTGAGCTGTTAGTAAACCCGGTACTTATTTAGTGACCAAATATTGTTTGCTTCATTTTGAATCCTGGTTTTTCAGGTTCTGATAAAAAAAGTTAAAGGAAGTCAAAGTACTATTTGAAATACTAGTCCTGGTACCAGCACAATGGTTCAATTGGCTAATCCTCACCTTGCAAGTGCCGGAATCCCATATGGACACTGGTTCATGTCCTGGCTACTTCACGTACCATCCAGCTCCCTTCTTGTGGCCTGGGAAGGCAGGAGAGGATGTCCCCAAGGCCTTCGGGCCCTGTACCTGCTTGGGAAACCTGGAGAAATCTTGAGGTTCCTGGCTCTTATGGCAAGTGAACCACTGAGTGGAAGATCTTTCTTTCTATCTCTCATTCTCTTTGTAAATCTGCCTTTCTATTCAAAGTAAATTTTAAAAAATTGTTTTAATCTTTTAAAAATTTTATTTTAAACTGTAACTTAAAATTAAAAACATTTTTAATAAATAAACATTTATTTAAAAAAACACTAGTCCCATATTCAAGTATCATCCACCATCTCTTTGTTTATTGGACCAGCTGAGCCTGAGTCATAACTTTTTCCTGTTGGACTCTCTTTAACTTCTACCTTCTGCCCTGTCTTTGACCTCATACTGCTGATTCTCTTGCTGGCTAACGCCCAGGCTCTAGTTCGCCAGGCTGACGTTGCTGTCAACTCTGCGAACAGATAGGCAGGTCACTCGGTTCACTACCCTTGCAAACAGGAAAGAGACAATGGGTTCCGCCTCGTTCAGATACTCCCAATCAACAATTGATTCTATCAGAACCTCTTCCCCTTGCCTGAGAGGAGAACAAAAAACTTCTTTGTGTCCCCAGTTAAGACTTAATAACTACAGTTGTATTTACTCTCACTTTCCATATATCACCTGCAAGGACTAGAAAACGCCTTTTAATATGTCTCAATGGAAGTATGTCTAATTTTGTTGTTTTTCTCAATTTCAACTTTAAAATGAATTTGATGAGTGGATCCCACTCTCCTATATCTGGGGTCATACAACAGTTCAAAAATTTTCAAGTATTTTAATGCTCAAACTTGGCTAATGACCATCATTTTTAAAAGGGGTTGGCTCTCCCCAATAATCACTTGTATCAGTGGACTTTTATCGGTAATTTGGGGATTCTTAGAAGAATCCAATGCAGTGTCTTGTATCCAAGAATAATGTAGAATGCAGGATTCTGGGAATGCTAGAGATGAAAGACATCTGAAAGATCATCTGCCTAATTTTCTGCTTCTGGAGTTTGGAGTTTGTGAATACACACCTATTGAATCTCTTTGAATAGATATGTAAGAGTAAATTGCTAGGCCTTCCTTCTTACACCTGCAGAGTCAACATCCCTCCAATGGGGCGTAAAGGTTAGGATTCTGTTTCAGTAAGCTCTCCCAGGAGATTTTTTTTAAGCCATTATTGCACAGTGGAAAGTCTCCTCTGTGGTTACAGATTATAATGACATAGGGGAACTTAAGAACATCCAGCTAAGCAGTGCTCTTAGTGTCCTATGAAGGACTTAAAATAGTTCCACATCAAGCCTCAACCTGTCCAAATCACATCAGAACCCATTGGATGTGACTGACCCCCAAGGTCAATCTGTGGTTTTAAAACATCCCAGGTGCTTCCCATCTTCAGCTAAGGTTGGCAACCACTGGTTTTAATTCATGTGGTGAGGGTTTTAGGCATTGATAATTTTTAAATGCTCCCCAGAAAACTTGAATGGAGAACCATAGGATATTCAGATTAGAGTTATTTTCTTTTGAGAGTTGTTTACTTGAAAGATAGAGAGACAGAGGAAGAGAAAGAGCTCTTTCCTTCACAGGTTTACTTTCCAAATAACTACAATGGCTGAAACAGAGCCAGGTGGAAGCCAGGAGCCAGGAACTCTGGATTGGTCTTCCACAAGACAGCTGGGACCCAAACGCTTGCTGATTTCGTAGGTTCATTGTCAGGAAGTTGTATTGAGAGCAGAGCAGCCAGGACCAGAACTGGCTCCCCCTGATATGGACTACCATCATGGAAGGCAGGAGCTTAACCTGCTCCACAATGCCAGCTCTGTGTCATTTCCATTGTTTCTGAACCCCCTCCCTCCAGTGTTGTAGATCCATCGACCAATCTCTTGGGATTTACTTATAGCACATGCCTACTTTATTGCTCACCTGTGAGCCTCCTCAAGCCTTTACATTTCACAAGTGCAAGAAAAAGTGCTGTCCTCTCCACTGCCGTGTCTTCTGTGCATTGCACAATGCCTAACGCTGCTAAATACCTGAATTAACAGCATTCCAGAAACAGGGAATTATTGGTAAGCCATATGCGGCATGACCTAGGAACAGCAAACATTTGATGCAAGTATAAAATAGGCAGGGTATTCAGAAATGAGTGGGAAGAGGTTGGCTACTAAGAGTCTTACATAAAATCCTAAGTGGCTGGAACTTCACCCTATAGGAAGTGAGAAGGTTTTATGTGCAGGATAATAATAATTAGTTCTATTATTTGGGACAGCTACTCTGGACACAGTATGGAGGATGGATCAATAAAAGAAAGACTAATAAGAATGAATTAGGAGATGTTCTGTAGCTAAGGAAATAGCGTTCACTAAAATAATGAAGTGAAAACATTTTTCCAGATAAAATATACATCTCTTGTCAACTGCCTGCCTACAGGGATGGGTAGAGTATAAAATAAAAGATGATCCTGTAGCCTAATTTTGGGGGTAGTAGGATGCTGTTAATGAGAATGTGGAGTATAGGCAGACAAGAGCTATCTTCAGGGGGAAGAACATCAATAATGAGCTCAGTTTTAATCATGTTGAGCATTCTATGCACCTGTGGGCATCTTGGGTATAGTATTTTAAGCAGTTAGAAATGCATAAAATCTCAGCTTGGTGCCTTATTGATTACAGATGCAACAACCGGTATTACCCAGTTGACCATGTTCACTTCCATTTTATCTACCTTGGAAAATGGTGGTGTTAAATCGATGTCAGGATTTGTGCTACTTTAGGCTATAGTTGACAATGAAAATAACTAATTGAGTCACTTTCTGGTTATTTACTTTGGTTAGATACATACACCCATCGTAACCTCACCTGAATTCCGAGGTGGCAGTATTATTAGAGATAGCTGAGTTAAGAAAGTAAACATATCTGATTATTTTTTAAGCTTAGGACCAGGTATATGGAATTCAAATTATTCAATACATGCACAGATGCATAGATAAGTGTATATGGAAATATAGTCAGATAGGTGTGTAAATTGATGAATATAGTTGGGTGTCTTCATGCTTTCATGGATATTTCAGAATTGCATGACAAAAATAAGGCATTCTTTCTGGAACCGGGCACCTAAGAATTGTTTAAGTTAAGCTATTTTTCCTGTATACTTAAAGAACTTAATGAATCCATTGGCTGTAGTAACAGACATAGAAAAGATCACCATAAGAACTTACTAAATGGCCTTTCTTTATATCATTTTCTCTTGATAATGTGAAACAACCCAGGAATTTAAAAATTCCAGTCTATTAAAGACCTATATTCCTTGATACATTATCCTCTGATTTTGTCTAGCAAAAGGCATTTAAATCAATTATTACTGAAAACTCTTTTGCTTGGAACTATTTTAGCAAATGGAAAGCAGCATACACACATATGGGTTAGATTTTTGTTTAAGCAAGATAACTGGTCCACCTGGGACATGCTGGAGGAGAAGAAATTATTCCAGTTGGGTATAGAAGAACAATGATGGAGACCTAGAAAACTGCAATGACAGCAAAGTGGGGAGACATTTATTAATTAATCCCTTCAGCAATCAAAAATTTGTTAACTGTATCAAACCAAACTTTGCAGAATGCATCGGTGACCAAACCCAGAAAGTACTTACTTTCAAGAAATTAATAGGCAAGTTTGAGGAGTTACACATAAATTAAATCATTAGAATAGCACCTGTAAAGCTGAAGCTGTGATATAGCTGCATACTGTAATACAGGACGGAAAAGTCAAACTTGGGAGAAAAAAAACATCTCAGAAGTGAAAGAACTAGTTTGATTATTTGGGTATCAGAAGGAAAGGTAGAGAAGGCAAGTTGATTTGTGTGGCAGAAATAGCATGCATGAAAAGCCATCAAAGAAGGTATATTAAGGAACAAATTTTGTGGGAAAAATTAAAATGACCTTTACCAAAAGATGAAATCAACAAGGTATGAGTTATAAATTTTTCTTTTTAAATTAATTCCATTTGCTTTTCTAATAGAAAGAACATATCCATTCAGTTGGAATAATGATACTTCACTGATAAGATACAGTTTTTTTATTTGCTTCATTTTTTGTTCCAATACAGATGTTGCCAGAGCAATTGAGTTATTGGAAAAACTACAGGAATCTGGAGAAGTACCTGTGCACAAACTACAGTCCCTCAAAAAAGTCCTTCAGAGTGAGTTTTGTACGGCTATTCGAGAGGTAGGACACAGATTTCAATGACTACTCAGCCATATATAAAATTTTGCTGGTTTTTTTCCACACAAACATTTGAAATAGCTAAGGTTGGAAGTGCATTATAAGTTTCCGTTTTTAGCTGTTTGGACAGATTATAAAATATGATTTAGCCTGCTAAACTGTTAAATTGAACCCACCCAGGATTTATGTATTCACGTAAAACCAGATGTTGATCTTATGAAACCAGTGAAGGGACTGCTTCAGCAGGTGGCTATGGCCTGCAGATTAAACTGTTTAGTGGTCTTATGAAGCTGAAGCTGCTGAGACATTCAAATAGAAATAGCCATGATTAACAGAGGTGGAGTGTTCTTGGAGCACTCTGTAAAGTCTTTCATGGGTAAATCAGAGTCACCTCCTACTGATAAAGTTGTGGCTAATCAAACATTACTATTAGTGCAATAATAATAATAAAAAATCTGAATAGTCTGGCATGCTTTTCCAGTAAATCTTTGCAGTGCTTGCTTAGCTAGTGATCTTAAAAAGAGCAAGATGAATCAAAGGTATTGAAATGACTACTTGAACTTTGTCATGCTGTGGAATTGACTATTGGTTAGAAGAAGCCACTGTAGATGTGTACTTTATATTATTTTATTCAGTGATCCAGTACCTCTTACTCATCAGGTAATGGATGCCCATTCATTCATTAGAACCTAGCATACATAAATAAGACATCTTCATTGCTAGAATGCCCAGTGACTTCCTGGAGAGTTTGTTGTCACACAGAGCGTACACCTTGCAAGGAATGCTTGTGGTTATGTTCTACCTCTTTGAAATTCCGCTTGTGACTAATCTCTACTCTTTGATCTCAATGTTAGTCTATGAGAAGTCATTAATCACGAAGATCCTGCTCACTAGGAAAGAGAAATACAGAAACACTGTGAATACAAATACAATGCAATTTAAGTTTGGACTTTGCTGAAATTCTACCTCAGTTATACTTGTGCTGAATGATAGGTGCAGTTTTTCATTGCTTAATTTTTTACTAATATTGGAAACTTAGGCAAATAACTATAATTTCATTTCAAACATTTAATTTATAAATTTGATCTAAGGCTAAAAGGAAATTTGTCAAAGTGTATGAGTCCCTTGGCATTGGCTTACCAGGGAAAGTGTATGATATTTAGGAATTTGGATAGAAACTCCATCAGTCATTGTGTCGACAGAGGCTGTGTTTTGTGGGGTCTTCTTTCTTCATAGAGTACAATTCCCCTAAGATGTGAAGGCTAAAATTTTTCTTTTCAAAGATTGTTTTTTCTGTGTCTTACTATTCCATTTCTCCTGGAACTAACTAAAGGATAGCACAGAACAAATACATATTTCTGCTTGCTGGTTGTGGAGCTCAACAACAATGCACCCATTATGTTCCTAGAACTTGTGTTTCAATGGGAGAAAAATGATGAATAAATGCACAATGTCAGAGAGCAACAAAGGTGATGAGAGAGCTAAGGCAGAACTTGGTCAGGGTGGTGGGGAAGAGATCACAGCAAGGGTCTGTCCATTCTAAGTTGGTGAAAACGGAATTAAAATAATGGAAGCAGTGACACAGTGTGAGGCGGTATGATGTTTCAGGCAGAGGAAACCACAAATGCAAATACCCTAGAGACAAGTTAGTGTTACTTCACAAAAAAGAACACACCAAAGCCAAGTTTGACCAAGGCCACTGGGAAACACATTATGTCACGGCCCCAAAAGAGAGTCAAACTTCATTCTAAACATGATAGGAAGCCTTTGAAGACTTTTTATATGATCTGAATGGCTTTGCAATAAGTTTTCTCTGGTTACTATGAGAATACAAGAGTCAGTCAATCATTAAAATAGGAGATATCAGTAATAAATTAATAAATTGACCATGAAGCGAAATGACAGCAATGTGGACAGACATGATGGCAACAAAGCTAGTAGGAGGTTGTTAGAGGTCACACACATTTTTGAGAACCAAGTTAAGAGTAATTGCTGATGTTGTGTATATTTGGAATAGGAGACAGTGATTCAATTGGGTCGGATGAGTCATGATACAGTAAGATGGAAACTTTTAGAAGCAGGCTGGTTTTGGAAAGAATGATCCAAAGAGCTTTGCTTTGAATATAGTCACTTGATGAGGCTTTTTGAACAGGTAAATATAGTGTTAGTCAACAGTCATCTAATTCTAAAGTGTAAAAGAGAAATTGGGTTAGATATGTAAATATGGTACAGATTCTCTTCAAATCAACAACACACAGGCCTTTTTCCTGAAGAGTATAACAAAAGTAAAAAGAAAATAAATATGGGGCCTTTGGATAGGCTTTATAAATGCAGTCTTATCAATTCTGCCTGCAGCAAAGTGGGTGAATACATTGTTAATGGTCCATGAAAGCCTGTGTCTGATCTATAGGCAAACCAGCAATTCCAAATGAAAAAAACAGATGATATAATTTTCTTATTTAAATTTCTCAAATTTGAACTAGCTAAATGAAATTCCTATTCAAATAAGGGTGCTTAGTAATAATTTTATTCCTTACAGCAATGCATATTATTCAAAAATTTTAAGGTCACTTCATCTCAGGCATTATTTGCATAGTATTGGCTTTCAGTTAGAATTTTCTTTTTTCTTGTTGTGTTGCTTTGCGTTTACTAAAGCAATTAAATTGTAAAATATATAGGTAGCAACAATACTAAATAATACTCTTTGGTGAAAGGCTCTTCCATAAAATTATAAAATATGAGGGACAGGCATTTGACACAGGGGATGAGATGCCATTTGGAATGCCCACATTTCATATTGGAGTGCTGGGGTTCAAGCCCCACCTCTACTTAACATCCTTCTTCTTGCACATATGTACCATGGGAGAGGGAGAATGATGGCTCAAGCACCTGCGTCATGCCACCTGATAGGGGAGGGCCCAGACTGTATTCTCAGTGTCTGGATCTGGTTTGGCCCAGCTCAGGCCGTTCTGAACTTCTGAGGAGAGATCTTACAGGTGGAGTGTCTCTCCCTCTCTTCCCCTTTCAGATAAATAAAAATGTAAATGTAATACAAGAGTGTATAAGTCTAAAAAAATGGGAAAAGTATGACAATAAACATCTAAAAATATTTTATTGAGTGGAGTAAACCTTCACTCCTGGTCTCTGTTAGACCGGTAAGAAGCATTTGAAGCTGAAGGTTCTTATTCAAATTCTGCTAAAATATTTTATGGTTAAGTTACCCGAGGTGTTTCCGAAATAGTTGCTAGTTAATACATTACAGAGTGTTCTTAGTCACGCTCATCAGAAGAAAAACAGATTCAGGTTCCACCATTGCTAAAAAGATTTTAAAACACACATTATGCTGAAAAAGAAAGCACAGTGAGCTTTGGCCAATTTGAAATCACCTAAGTAAGTGTAACTGAAGTTCTTATTGTATCTTGCAATAATTGCATATTTTGCTTTACTTTTGTGTAAAATTACTGAATCAGCTCCTAGCGTAAGCTTACATGAAAAGCATAGTTTGATTACTTTTTTTTGTGTGTATTTTTGATACAAATAGTTACTTTATAGATTACACAGTTCCTTTGCTATTTTTTTCTACTAATGAAGAGAAAAAAATGTGTTGCGGTCAGAACTAAGGGAACAGCATCTATGTATATGACTGAGAAATGCATTGCTTTCTTCATAATTAATGTGCTCTTAAATGTCAGTCCACTCACCACTTTACCCAGAGAATACAGATGGTAGTCAAAAATAATTGACCTGATTGTGTTTCATTGCTGAAGGGTCTTAACTTGACCCTGGTTAATAGTTAAGTTGCACCCTCGCTCAACAAGTAATTTCAAAGCACATGGCAGATAAAGGGGCTGATGCATGACAAACTTTCATATAATAATATGTTGTGGCTCAAAAGACTGTTTTCATGAAGTTTTCAATGTAAAATGAAATAAAAGTTTTATGGTACTTATATTCTCAATAATGACCATTTTTGTAAATTCTAAAGGACTTCTTCAAGTCTTAGTTCTGCACTATAGTAATTATCTTGAGTAGACTAAACTTGTGCAATTAGGCTTGAAATATGATTACCAAGTGTTGATTTTTGAAATCTTTTTATTTGAGAGATGAAGATGCCTTTTAATTTCATTTTTTCAGAAACTTTCTGAAGTCCCATAAGAGTATGTATAAGCTTTTAAATTTAGCTTCAGTTTCATTCTCTTTTTGTGAAAAACAAACTGTTCATAAAAAAATGTTTTTCCTTTCAGTGTTTTGAACATTTTAATATGCTTTAATTTTGTTTTAAGCATTAGTAGAATGGGTTCCTTATATAAAATCACGATCCTTTTATAATGTCACCTAGAACAGAATTAAATTTATCAGTTAACAAAATTGGGTTTTTTTGCCTATTTTTTTTCATATTCAGCTGAGCCTAAATTAGCAAATGTTTAAAAAAAAACAATAAAAGAAAGCTTGATGGTTCTTACATTTCTTTTGATTTTATTTGCATTGCTAAATGTAGTGGAACACAAAAGCCAGACTGTTTCTTGTGTGATAAGTTTCCTGCCAACGAGCATGTGAAGTCAAGACAGCTTATTTGCAAGCATCCTGAAAATAAATCACACAATGTAGATTTCCCCCCACCCCCCGAGAAAATGTTAAAGTTTTTTAAAGGGGTGTAAACTTACCAAAATTTGTATTTGCCACCACATGAATGTCTTGATGTATTTCCAGACAAAAGAAACCATAAATAACTAGAGAATGGTTTATCAAGTCAAGTCCTTTAGAAATACTTGAACTGGTGGGCTGTTCCTAATTAGGAAATAAACAAAAAATCAAGACAGTGCCTCTGTGCCCTTGCTATAACCTACTCCTCAACTCTGATATTTTGTTAACATTTTGAAGCCAGTTGTGGTGAAAATAAAGCCTGTGCTATTGCCAATTGGTATGGAACTGAGTGAAACCATTATTGTTTCAGTCCAACTGATTTTTATCTAGCATGTGAATAATGTCCTAGCATGCATATC